GAAACATCGATGTGAGAGAAACACATTGATTGGTTGCCTCCCACAGGAGCCCCGACCAGGGCCCGGGCAGGGGAGGAGCTGCAACCAAGGTACGTGCCCTTGACCGGAATCAAACCTAGGACCCTCTGGTCCTCAGGCCGATGCTCTATCCACTGAGCCAAACTGGCCAGGGCCAGCAGTTGGCGTTTCTATGGCACTTGTGTCTAAATACCAGAAGGTGTAAAAACAAAGAATTCTTATCCTTTTTCTAGAAGGTTTATCTATTCATCCTGACTTGAAACCAGCCCTCCCCTGCCCAGGAGAATCAGAAGGCAGCCCTGGGCTTACCTAGGTACCTGGGTTCAGGTATGAACATTGGCTTTGGTGCCAAAAAGATTATTTTGTGGGTTGACCAGAGACACTGGCTTGGAGGCTTGGGGGGTGGGGTTCTTTTGTGTTTTTTTTTCAACCCAGTTTTTCTATCTTTTGAATATTTGCTCCCATTTTACCTTGCCTGCCAATTCATATAGTGACAGGAAAAGCACACATTTAATCAAGCTCTTAGTAAGGAAAACACAGGCCTGGTTTTTTTGGGGGGAATTGTATGATAGCCAAGGGTTAACTTGCAGCAGCCTCTATGTCACTGAGTCTCAATCTGCACTGGTTTTTACAGCCAGTAGTTCTTACTGCCCCTGGGGGCTTCCCTTCCCAGTTCTGGGACCCTGGGCTGGGGTTGGTGTGGGGCTGGGCCCCCTTGCTCCTCCAGGCGGCCTCCGCAGAGACCACCTCCCTCTGGATTTAGAAAGCAGCTCACGTGGGTGCTGGCCCAGTCCAGTCTGTTCCGCGCCTCCTACCAGTCTCAGTGCGCTTTCTTCCTTCCTTCTCTAGTTGTAGGACTTCCATTCAGCCAGCTTCCGGCGGTTCTGGATGATGGTGGTTCTGTATTTTAGTTGTAATTTTGATGTGGTTGAGGGTGGCGGCGAGTACAGGCGTTTACCTATGCGGCCATCTTGTTCAGGAAAGTCCTACCCTTCATACAAGTAGCATGTGTTGGAGATTTGGGGGAGTAGCTGGGTAGGAACAATTCAGCTGAAGTTGTTTTCAGCACTTGATTGACCTTACAGAAAATCACTTCTGCAGAAACATGCTCTCAATTTTGTTCTTTTATTGAGCCTTCCGACAGGACAGATGACCAGGTAGAACCCTTCCCTCCATCCTCACTCCAGCCGAGTCCAAAACAGCACCTGTCACTCTATGGGCCCTGCACTTGCTCTGCTTGGGTTCTGGGGGTGAAAGGCCTGTGACTGCTCTATCCCTCTAAGAAACCTCTCTTCATACACCCTCCTTCCTTCCCATGACCCTCCTTCTGGGGACAGAGACTCAAGTCAGTGGACCCTGAATGAGACAATTCATGAACATAGTCCTTCCTTAACTCCGGGGCTGGCTCTTGCAGCCCAGCAGTCACCCCATGGAAGTCTAACTTCTCTGCTAAACACAGGTGCGTGGCAGCAGCACGCCCGTCTTTTCTCGGCCACCCTGCTCTGGACAGGATCATCTCTGGATCGCTCTTTGATCACAGATCCCACCCCCTCC